CAGGGGCGCCCCCCCCCTTCCTCGACCCCGGATCCCTGCGCCAGTTACCCGCCACAAGCTATGAACCCAAGCTGCAAACTCAAGCCACAGACTCAAGCAGGACTGGTAACTATGCAGCAGCTGCAGAACATCTGACGGATGTGTGTGTGTGTATAGGTATTAGGTATAATGTGTGTGTTTTAGGATTAAGATATTAGTTATTGGTCATAAATAAAATTGTTATCATAATAAATGTGGCATCTTTGTCTTGACCCCTAAAACGATCCTGTATAAGTTTGTGGGACAACAGGGCACTGCCAGGGGGTGAGCACAGCACCCCACCCTGCCCTCCACCCCCACAGGGCACTGCCAGGGGGTGAGCGCAGCCTACCCCCCAACTCACTGTCATGGGCTCCGGGCGGAGGCTGCGCAGCTCCCGGGCCCGGTGGTAGGGCGTCATCATGGCATTGGAGGTGCAGCAGAGGATGAGGGTGCGGCCGGGCAGGGGGGGCAGGTTGTGCCGGGCAGAGATGCAGATGGCGGCGTCCAGGGCACAGTGATAGCGGACCAGGAGGGCGGGGTCGGGGCGCAGCTCCCTGGCGGGCACAAGTTGCTGCTGAGTCGCTGCCCGGCCCCCCATCCTGCCCGCTGCCCAGCCCGGCCCCCCCTGCCCCAGCCCCCCCATCCTGTCCCGGCCCCCTGCAACCTGGCACCCCCCCAGCCTGGCACCCCACCTGCCCAGCCCCCCACACTGCCCCCTGCCCAGTCCCCCTGCAACCTGGCACCCCCCCAGCCTGGCACCCCACCTGCCCAGCCCCCCACACTGCCCCCTGCCCAGTCCCCCTGCAACCTGGCACCCCACCTGCCCCCCACGGCCTAGCACCCCACCTGCCCAGCCCCCCCCATCCCACCCCCTGCAACCTGGCACCCCACCTGCCCAGCCCCCTGTGGCCACTCCCAGGAGCCAAGCATGGGGCTCTCACCTGGCCTTCTGCAGCCGCTGCTTTTCGCTCTTCACCGCGCGGAAGAAGATGGGGATGGACAAGGCCGCACGTAGCTCCCGGCGCATCCAGAACGGCCGCCCCCGCACCCCGGGCAGGGCCCCCGGCTGCTTCTTTCCGCGCCTCAGCAGCGCCCGCAGCAGCTCCACGTTAGAGAGGCAAGGGCTGTCTGGAGGTGTGTGTGGTGGGGGGGGAAGACACACAGTGCCCCTCACTCCTGACCCGCAGCCTCTGCTAGCCCAGCTCTGCCTGTGCCTCTTGCCCAGGGGTGGGCAAACTACGGCCCGAGGGCTGCATCCGGCCCTTCAAACATTTTAATCTGGCCCTTGAGCTCCTGTCAGGGAGTGGAGTCCAGGTCTTGCCCCGCTCCGGGGCTCCAGCCAGGGGAGCCGGGTTGGGGGCTTGCCTGGTTCCGTGTGCTCTCGGAAGCAGCAGTATGTCCCCACTCTAGCTCCTATGCAACCAGGGTGTTCCATACACTGCCCCCACCCCAAGTGCTGCCCCCACAACTCCAATTGGCTGGGAACCACAGCCAATGGGAGCTGCAGAGGTGGCGCCTGCGGACGGGGCAACACGCAGAGCCGCTGGGCTGCACATTCATGTAAGAGATGGAGGGGGGACATGCCACTGCTTCCAAGAGCTGCTTGAGGTAAGCGCCTCCTGGAGCCTGCACCCCTGACCTCCTCCTGCACCCCAACCCCCAGCCCTGATCCCCCTCCTGCCCTCCGAACCCTTCGGTCTCAGCCCAGAGCACCCTCCTGCACCCCCAACCCTTCATCCCCACCCCTGAGCCTGCACCCCCAACTGGAGCCCTCACACACACCTGCACCACAACCCCCTGCCCCAGCCCGGAGCCCCTTCCCACACCCTGAACTCCTCATTTCTGGCCCCACTCCAGAGCCCGCACCCCCAGCCGGAGCCCTCGCCCACACCCCAACCCACAGTTTCATGAGCATTCATGGCCCGCCATACAATTTCCATACCCAGATGTGGCCCTCAGACTAAAAATTTGCCCACCCCTGTTCTTGCCCCTGGTTGTTCGGGGTCTCAGTGCTGTCAATGAATCACAGTTAACTCCCGTGATTAACTCAAAACAAATTAACAAAATTAATCGTGATTCATTGCAGTTATAATCGCACCGTTAAACAGTAGAGTAGCAACTGAAATGTATCAAAGATTTCTGGCTGCTTTTCTACATTTTCAAATGTTTCAATTTCAATTACCACATGGAAAACATAAAGGGCTTCCTTTAGATGATAATTTTTGATTACCAATATTTTTCTTCACCTCATACAAGTGCCGTCGTGCGATCTCTGTACAAATGGAGAATTCTGTATAACAATAACTGTGCTCAGAAACCAGCCAATGTAAAACTTTAGAGAGCCTCCGAGTCCGCTCAGTCCTACTTCTTGTTCAGCTGATCGCTCAGACAAACAGGTCTGTTACAGTTGCAGGAGATAATGCTGCCCATTGATTTACACTATCACCTGAAAGTAAGAACAGGCATTTGCATGGCACTGTTGTAGCCGGCATGGCAAGGTATTTATGTGCCAGATGCGCTAAACATCTGTATGCCCCTTCATGCTGAGACATGTAGCTTTTTCTACTGTGCAAATATTTGTAATCGAAACTAATAAACTCACACGAGCCCCGGACACTTTGTCTTCTGCATTGTGGGTGCAATCGCTAGATTTGTAAATGGAGGAAAACAGCCAAAGATATTTAGGATATGTTTCAGTTGCTATTCGATCAGTAACGGTGCAATTCAACCTGCCATGAACCGCGATTTTTTTTTTAATCTCGTGATTCATTTGTGTCACCGCTTGGCAGCCCCGGTCTCACCTTTCTTCTTCAGCTGCTCCTCCATGTCCTGGATGACTTTATTCGCCGTCAGGAACCGGAAGGGGAACTGCCGGCTGCGGATGATGGACTCCTGGAAATTGGCGGGAGTGTCAAGGTGGGGATCCCAGCAGCCCTCCACCCCACTCCAGTCATCCTATCTTGGGGTGGGGGGGATGGGATTTTGGGGCCGTATCTCACTCTGGGGATCCGAGAGGGGGGGAATTCAGGGTCCCCAGGGCAGTATCTTGCTGTGGGGACCCTGGGGGGGGGGGAGGGGGAATTCGGGGTCCCCAGAGCCATACCTCGCTCTGGGGACCCGGGAGGGGGGAATCAGGGTCCCCAGGGCCGTACCTTGTTCTCCAGCTGGCTGAGCACTTGCCGGTGGTGCCGCTCACTCACCCCAGCCCCGATGATGTTGCGCAGGTTCCTGAGCATGGCCATGAATGGCAACTTCCCCGAGTCTGCGAGGCAGAGCCCAAAGCACGGTTAGGAGCCCACCCCACCCACAGCCAGGGGGCGCTGTATCCACAAGGGTGCTGAGCTGGCTGCTGCTTCCAGGGGGCGCTCGGCCCCACTGGCCACATTTATAGGGGTGCTGGGCCAGCTGCAGCACCCAGGGGGCGCTGGGAGATCTGTGGCTACCAGGGGGTGCATTCCGGGGGGCCCTTATCCCCACGCAAGCCGCTCATTGCCAAGGGGAGCGGAGGCCAGCTCCTCATGGAGTCTCTTTGTGCCACAGTGGTACCCAGCCAGCCCATGGGCCAATCAGAGACCGGTGCCAGGCCCCCCACTCTGCCCCGAGGCTAGACTCTCCTCGGGGGTGTTACGGCACTGAGCAAACCCTGCTCCAGCTAGGCTGGCCACCTGCCCCATGGCAAGCCCAGCCAGCCCCACACATGCCCTGTCACCCTGCACTCAACACTAGCTCGCACCCTCTGGGAAAAGAGCTAACAGTGACACCTGGTGACACCTAGACACACTCAGGGCACCACTGGGGGCAAGCGCAGCACCCCATGAAGCCCCTCCTTACCGATCAGTTCCTCCCAGACCGCAGCCTTGTTCCCACGCTGGCTAAGCTGTCGGTCCCAGGTCTGGGGCTGCGGAAGTTTCATTCGGGTCCCGGCCCGGGCGGGGTCCCAGGGCCCTGGCAGGTGGCTCCGGGAGAAGGAGCTTAGGTCCGAGGGGTACCTGGGGAGAGGGGGGAGCAGCAGAGACAGGGTGGATCCCAGCAGGGCCTACAAGGGGGTGAAGGGCAAGCCAGGACTCCTGGGTACTGTGCCACCTCTTGGGTTTGGGGGATAGAAAGGAGGAGGGGCTGGGAGCCCTCTCCAGGGCTCTCACCTGCAGCCCAGCAGACTCATGACGTGCTGGGCCGGCTTGGAGATATGCAGCCATCGGATCAGCGCCTTCAGGGAGAAGGGCTTCGTCTCGCGCGGCTCCTGGGATGGCTGACCACTTTCAAACTGCAGGAGACATCAGCAGAGAACCCAGGAGTTCTGGCTCCCAGTCCCCTGCTCTAACCCACTAGCCCCCACTCCCATCCCAGAGCTGGGGACATAATCCAGGAGTCCTGGGTTCCGGCCCCTCTGCTCTAACCAACTAGACCCCCATGCCCCTTCCAGAGCCGGGGACAGAACCCAGGAGTCCTGGCTCCCAGACCCCTGCTCTAACGACTAGACTCCACTCCCCTCCCAGACCAGGGGACAGAACCCAGGAGTCCTGGATCCCAGGCCCCCCCCGGCTCTAACCACTAGACCCCAGTCCTCTCACCTTCGTCTGAAGCTTGCCGAACGCTTGGCGCAGCCGGAATCTCCTCGTCCAGGGCAGAGGTCTCTGGGAGGCAGCTCCGGGAGGAAGAATTGGCTGGCAGCACTGGGGCCGGAGCACAGGACTCCTGAGTTCCCTCCCCGGCTGGCGGGACCGCGGGCGCCCCCTGGCTTTGCCACGACTCTTGCGCGAGTTGTACTTGGCCAGCTGGTAGGCATCAAATTGCTGGAACTTGTCTGCCAGGCCGGTGCGGAGGCAGCGGGGCAGCGGGGCCAGGGGGCGCCCTGCGCCCGCCAGGCTCTGTGAGGGAGAGGGAGACGGGTCAGTGCTGGCCAGCAGGGGGTGGCATTGGCCGGCGGAACTACCCGCCACTGGGGTTGAGCTGGGGCGCGAGCCGGGTACCTGGAAGAGCGCCACCACCTGGGTCCAGTCGGAGGGCAGCTGCAGGGAGGTACACAAGTAGCGGCGCAGGTGGGGCCGGCAGGGCGGCAGCCAGGCCGCCAGTGCCAGCAGGAAGTTGGCCGTTGCCCGGATGTTCAGCTCCTGGCGCGTATACAGGGCGACCTGTGGGGGGAGAGAGGGGAAACTGAGGCCCGGAGCAAACCCAGGCATCCAAGCTCCCCTGCTCTAACCCACTAAAGCACACTCCCCCTCCCCAAGTCCTGGCATAGGGCACCAGAGACCACCTCCCACCCACTCAAACTGCTTATCCCCTGCCCCGTACAGGGGGGGATTGAACCCAGGCATCCTAGCCAGCAGCCCCACCCCACAGTACCTTAAGGATGAACTCAGGCTCCAGGTGGGCCAGCTCCTCGCACAACTCCACCAGGCGCCCACGCGTCGGGCCACTGGGGGCCCCCAAATCAGACCCCTCCACGAGGGAGCAGCACACCAGGTTCACCAGGGCCAGCTGGGGGGGGAACAGGGAGCAGGGATGAACCCAGAAGTCCCAGCTCCCAGCCACCCTCCGCCCATCCACTAGACAAGGGGTGGGCAAACTTTTTGGCCCGAGGGCCACATCAGAATTGCGAAACTGCATGGAGGGCCAGGTAGGGAAGGCTGTGCCTTCCCAAACAGCCTGGGCCCCGCCCCCTGACTGCCCTCCCCATCCAACTGCCCCCTGCTCCCTGACTGCCCCCCCAGCTGCCCCTTATCCAACCTCCCCCCCGTCTCCACCCTGTTACCATGCCACTCAGAGCAATAGGACTGGCAGCCTTGCTGCCTGGCAGCGCTGGTGGCACAGCAAGCTGAGGCTGCGGGGGAGGGAGGACGGAAAGGCAGGGGCCAGGGACTAGCCTCCCCGGCTGGGAGCTCAAAGGCCGGGCAGGACGGTCCCGCGGGAGGATGTGGCCCGGGGGGCCATAGTTTGCCCATCTTTGCAGTAGACCCCACTCCCCTCCCATAGCCAGGGAGAGAACCCAGGAGTCCTGGCTCCCACCCCCCGTGCTGTAACCACTACATCCCACTCCCCTCCCAGAGTTGGGAGAGAACCCAGGAGTCCTGGCCCCCCACCCCCATCTCTTACCTTGTGCTCTCTCAGGTGCTGCTGGGGGCCCTTCCCGGGGGGCTGCTGGGCGCTAGGGTCCCTCTGCCCCAGGGGCTCCGGGCTTGGCTCGGCCTGCAGCTCCGACAGGGTGTACTGGGGCAGCGAGCCAGAAGGGTCGGGGACAGCGTCGGCCCGCTGCGGGGAGAGCGGGGGTGACCCACGGGGCTGGGGACCCCACACAGTGCCCCCTGCCCCGACCACCCCCACCCCAACTGTCCCCCCTCAGCGACCCCGCCTTGACCACCCCGACCACCACACCCTACAGCCCCTCCACCCCACAGCCCCTCCTCAGAATCTCCCCACACAAACACACTTCACCTCCTCCCTCTGACTGCTACCAGCATCCCTCCCCCTGGGATTACCCCCTTTGGTGGTCAACAGCGGAATTGCAGCCCCGTGTGCTTCACAGCTACCATGAGTTGGTGCCCGGTCTGAGCCCGGTGCCCATCTTACCCAGGGCGGCTCCAGCTCCTCGCTGCGGGCCGGGATCCCATCCTCACCTCCAGGGGCAAGGGGCACCCGGCTGGGTGTAGAGATGGGGGCAGACACCAGACAGGGCGTGGGGGTCAGGGAGCTCAGCCAGGGGGCAGGGGGCGGGAGAGGGCGGAGAAGCCGGGCCCTGGTCTCCTCTACCCATGCTGGGAGAAGGGGGCTGTGGCCCCCCAGGAAAGGGTTCTCCAGCCAGCAGGAGGCAGGGCTGGGGCGGAGGGCGGGACCTGGAGTTTTCATGGCTGCAGCACCTGGAGAGAGAAGAGTGAGATGAGAACCCAGGAGTCCGAGAGCCCAGTGAGGCCACGCTCCTGCTCAGAGCCGGGAGAGAACCCAGGAGTCCTGGCTCCCAGCCCCCGCTGCTCTGAGCACCAGACCCCATTCCCCTCCCAGAGTCGGGAGAGAACCCAGGAGTCCCGGCTCCCAGCCCCCAACGCACTCCATGGGGGGGGAGAACATTGTCGCCCACCCTTGCCCCAGACCTGCCCCGGCTCCCCCATCAGAGGGTCAGGAAGGGGGGGGGAGTCACAGAGCAGGGACCGGGGGAGGGGGGCTGCCAGGCCCTGGCAGACCCCCCCAAGCCCTGCCCCCATGGAGCCCCTCCCTAGACCAACCCCACTTCTGCGCTGCGCCTTCCCCTGCATTCGCCCCCGCCCCACGGCCCCCCCACGGGCCACGCTACCCACCGACCGCGCACCCGGAAGCACCGCACCCAGCCCGGCTAGTGCCCGGATCAGCTGGTGGGAGGAGCCTGCCAGATCCGCCCCCGGAGCCGGGCTCAGATTTCAGGGAGAGCCCAGGAGTCCGGGCTCTGGACCCCATAGCTGGGACTGATCCCCGGAGTCCAGGCTCCCAACCCCTCCGGTTCTGGCTGGGCGTGGGGGAGCTCAGCTCTGCCCCCCATCTCGGCGGGGGGATCCTGCTCCCGGCCCCCCAAAGGGCCGCGTGGGGTCCATGGCGGCGCCCCGCGAGTTGGGAATGACCAGGCGGGGGCTGAGCCGAACCCTCTTTATTGACCCGACTCGCGCCCCAGGAGCCACCTGGCCCCCTCCCCTCCTCCTCCTCAGGGGACCGCGGGGAGTGTCCGAGGGAGGCCCTGTCTCATGGGGGGTCCCAAGGAGAGGTGTCAGGTCCTTGTCAGAGGGGCTCCCCCACCCCATGTGGAGAAACCGGGCTCCCCTATACCGCTGAGGGGTGTTGGGGGCTCACCTGTCCCATGGGGGCACCCCTGTTCTATGGGAGACAGGTTCTCCCTCCTGTGCGGAGGTGCCCGGGGCTGCCAGGTCCTGTGGAGGGATCAGGGGAGGGTCTCATCCCATGGGGGGCTCAGAGGGGTCCTCTGTTCTGTGGGGGAGTCAAAGGGGGATATCAGAGGCGGGGTTCTTGTCCCATGTGGGACTCAGAGGGGTCCCCCATTCGGTGGGGGGCAGGGTCCCCATCCTGTGTGGAGGTGCCAGGGGCTGCCTGGTTCCATGGGGGGGCATCAGGCAAGCCGGGTCCCCCCGCAGGGCGGGCGGCAGCAGTAGGACGCAGGCCCGCAGGTCAGCACAGGCCTGGGGCAGGGTGCCCAGCATCAGCCAGCGCCCCTGCGCTGGCTGGTAGGCGTGCACCAGGTGGGTGTCCCGGTAGGTCTCCTGGCTGTAACCGCCCAGCACATATAGCTCCCCCTGCAGGACGGCCGAGGCACCCCCCACGTGGGCCTGGGGCAGCGGGCTCAGACGGACCCAGGCATCCGGGCCGGGGCTGTAGACCTCGCAGGCAAGCTGGTCGGTGTAGCCCCCGTCGTGCCAGCGCAGGCCCCCGGCCACATAGAGTCGCTCCCCCAGTGCCTCCATGATGTGGCCAGCCCGTTCCTCCAGCATGGGGGCCAGCTGGGCCGAGGGGCCCCCCGGGCACAGCCGCAGCAGCCAGGTCCGGCACTCGCTTGAGCCGTCGCAGCCCCCTGAAACGTAGATGGCGCCGTCCAAGGTGCAGGCAGCATGGCCGCAGAGCGGGGCTGGCAGGGGGGAGCACGGCCTGGGGGGACATGGGGGGGGGCAGAGAAAAGAAAGGAAAAGAGAAAAATCAGCCAATGAAATAGAGGAAAAAGCAGAAACAAACAGCCAACCGTGCCCCCCCATAGCACCCCTACCACCGGCCATGACAGCCCCCCATGGCATGCCCACAGCCCCTCCATAGCACCCTCTTGGCCCCTACCAGGCCTGGTGCCAATGGGACCCCAGATATCCAGGTTGTGGGTACTTTGGCTCAGCCATGCGGGGGTGGGGGCCCTGGAGGGAAAAGGGTACCCAGGCGTCCAAGGGCAGGAGCAGGCACTACCCCCCCCTCACCTCCAGGCGTCGGCAGGAGGGTCGTAGCACTGCACCCCATCCGTGCAGTAGGCGTCCTCAGAGCTACCCCCCAGGGCGTAAATCCGCCCGGCCACCCCCACGGCCGGGAAGGAGCTGCGGGCGCTGGGCATGTCGGCCAGGCGCTGCCAGGAGTCCTGTGCGGGGTCGTACCTGCAATGGGGTGAGGTGGGCACTCCCCATATGAACCCCATTGCCTGTCCCAGGTCCCATTCTCTGCCTCCCTGGGCCGGACAGTCCCCCGCCCATCCCAGGTCCAATTCCCTGTCCCCTGGGCCGGCCAGCCCCCCACCCACCCCAGATCCCTTCCCTGCCCCACCCCCACCCCAGCCAGACCCAGGTCCCATTCTCCCCACCCCAGCCACCCAGCCAGCCTCCCACCCCCACCTCGGGTCCCATTCCCTGCCCCCCTGGTCCCATCTCCTCACCCGCCACAGATCCCTTCCCCTGACTCCAACCAGTCAGACCCCCACCCTGGGGCATGATGGGAGCTGGCGCTCCCTGGACGGGAAAGACCCTGTGCCCCATTCCCCGCCCCCCTGGGCCAGCCTCCCCATAAGGGCTGGATGGGAGCTGGTGCCCCCTGGATGGGAAAGGCCATGTGCCCCATTCCTCGCCCCCTGGGCCAGCCTCCCTGCTCAGAGCCCCCTAGAGGACAGTACCTGCCCCACTCACCGGAAGGCCGTGGCCAGCGTGTCCCGCACCCCGTAGTAGTGCTTCCCGCCCAGCACATAGAGCATGTTGCCCAGCACCGCGGCAGCGTGGCGGAACCGTGGCCCGTCCGGGAACTGGCCTAGCCGCCTCCACTCCACCTGCTTGACCAGCCCCACACCGCTGCGGAACCGGTGGGCAAACCACAGCTCCCGGGTGGGGCGGCGGGTAGCTAGGCTGAGCGCCAGCCCCTCGCCCCCACAGATCACCAGGGCCGCGGCCGGGGTGCGCACGCGGCAGGGCCCCTCATCCGCCACCGCCGCCACCAGCAGCTGGTAGAGCCGGCCCGGCGGTGCCAGCAGGTCCGCGGCTCGCACCCGGCGCAGCTCCCATGTGCCCATCAAGGAGAAGCGGACTCGGGCCAGGATGGCCTCGGCATGGGGCAGGCGGCAGGTGCGGTCGGCGTCCAGCCAGCGCAGGGCAGCTTCGAAGGCCTCCACCTCACTGGCCACATAGAGCTCGTCTGAGCCCAGCAGGGCCAGCAGCTCGGCCAGCGGCAGGGCCGGGAAGCCAGGGCACCGGGCCACCCCGTCGAAGTTGGCCAGGGCATAGGCCTGGGCGGCAGTGCCCAATGAGCGCAGGTCATAGGCACGGGCGAAGGCCAGCAGGTCCAGGCTGCGGGCCGGGCTCAACGCCCGTTGCAGGGCCTCCAGGCAGAGCGCCAGCAGCCCCGAGGCCTGGTACTGCAGGGCGGTCTCAGCCGCGCCCAGGAGTTCAGCCCAGCTACCTGCCACTGTCCCCGAGTAGGCGAAGGGCAGCAGCAGGCGCAGGTCGGTCGGGGCCATGAGCGTGGGCAGGGGGTCGGCCCCCTGGCGGGCCTCCCGCATCCCGCTGCAGAACATGGCCCGGAAGTACTCGCAGCCGCAGCTCAGCGCGACCCGGTGAGCTGTGGGGGAGAGGGGGGAGGTCAGGCATGGAGACCCCAAAGGCACCCCCGGGCCGCCCAGCCCTGCCCCCAGTGCCAGCCACTCCAGCCCTGGGCTCCTCCCTGCCCACTCACTCACAATCTGCAGCCCCTTGCTCGCCCAGCCCTGGGCTCCCCTGCAGCGCAGCCAGTGCCTCTCACTTCTGACCTGCAGCCACCTGCACCCCAGCCCTGCTCTCAGTGCTCGCTATCCCAGCCCTGGGCTCCCCACAACCTCTCCCAGTGGCCCTCACTCCCGATCTGCACCCCCTGCTAGCCCAGCCCTGCCGATGCCCCTCACTCCCAACCCGCAGTCCCCTGCTGGCCCAGCCCTGCTCCCTCCCCACCTCTGCCGGTGCCCCATTCACCTCGGAAGGTCTCTCCTTCAGTGGTCAGCGCCAGGTCACAGCCCACCCCGGCTCGGAACAGCTCCTCCATGCCCTGCAGCGTCTCCCACTGCTCCTCATCTGGGCTCCTGCCCTCTGGCCCCTCCAGCCCGTCCCCCATCCTCCGGCAGATCTCCACCACCCGTGGCGCACCCAGGGCCTGAGCTGCAGCCACCAGCTCCCCGGCCGTGCCCGGCATGGCAGTGAAGGCCCCGGTATAGGCGAAATCCAGAACAGCCTCCCAGCCGCGCGGCGTGGCCAGTGGGCTCACGTCCACTTCCCCGGCGGCCCCGCACACCAGCCGCTGGCAGAAGAAGGCACTGACGGCAGCCAGCACCACACCGTGGGCCTGGTACCACTGGGTGCCGGCCATCACCGTCATGTCCACCAGCTGGCCCTGCCCGCGCAGCTCCAATGCCGCCTCGAAGAACTGCCGGGCGTGGCACTCACTCCGCAGCTTCCAGCGTGGCTCGGGTGTGTTGCCCTCCTCGCCTGGCCCCTCAGCCGGCTCCGGCCCCTCGCCTGGCCACATCGCGCCGGGAGCGCCTGCCAGGAAAGGACGTGAAAGGCCCTGGCCCCTGAGCCAGTCAGCCCCCGTGCCTGGGGCCAGATGGGAGTTGGTGCCCCTTAGAGGGGCAGGCCCCATGCCCCATTCCCCACCCCGCTGAGCCAGCCAGTCCCTACCCTGGGGCCGGATGGGAGCCAGCGCCCCCTAGAGGGGACAGGCCCGGTGTTCCATTCTCTTTATGCCATTCAACAGCTACTCAAGTGTGTGTGTGTGTGAGATTGTGTGTAACGGGGAGGAGGGGGGTGTTTTTGTGGCGTGTGTGCATAATTGCAGTGTGGTGTTTGTGTAACAGTTGGGGGGTTGTGAGCTGTGGATACTGGGGGCGTATTTGAGGGATTTTATGACGTGTGTCTTGTGCGCTATGTTGGGGGGCATCTCTGTGCTCCGCTGGTGCTGTGTGCTGGGCAGGAGTATCTGTGGTGTCTCTGTGTGTAGTTGTGAAGTGTGGGGGGTGTGATGTATGGCTGTGTGGTGTCATTAACCTTCTAGTGTGTGCAGTTGTGCAGTGTGTGTTGGTGTGTGTGGGTATGGTGTTTGCATGTTCCTGTGTTCACTTTGTGTGTGTGTGTTTGCTGTGGGTAGTTGTTGTGGAAAGTGAGAGGGGTGGTTGTGGTGTGTGTGTGTACTTCCTCTCTGTGTTGAGTGTGTGTTTAGTTGCTGGGGGAGAGTTGCAGGGTGAGTGTGTGTAGTTGCTGTGGGGGGGTTGCAGTGTGTGTGTGTAGTTGCTGCCTGTGTTGTGTGTGTAGTTGCGTGGGGGGGGCGTGTAGTTGTTGGGATGAGGGTTGCGGTGTGTGTGTGTGTGGTTCTTGTCTGTGTTTTTATGTGTGTGTGTGTAGTTGCTGTGGGGGGGATTGTGGTGTGTGGGTGTGTGTAGTTGCTGTAGGGGGTGTTTGTGGTGGGTGTATAGTTGTTATCTGTGTTGTGTGCTTGTGTGTAGTTCCTGTTGGGGGTTGTGGTGTGTGTGTGTGTGTGTGTGTAGTTCCTGTCTGTGTTGTGTGTGTAGTTGCTGGGGTGTTGTGGTGTGTATGTGTGTGGTTGTTATGGGGGGGGGGTTGCAGTGTGTGTATGAAGTTCCTGTCTGTGTTGTGTGTGTAGTTGCTGGGGTGTTGTGGTGTGTATGTGTGTGGTTGTTATGGGGGGGGGGTTGCAGTGTGTGTATGAAGTTCCTGTCTGTGTTGTGTGTGTAGTTGCTGGGGTGTTGTGGTGT